TCAATCATTGGTTGAGAGCTCACACTTTACACACAATCATTGATGTGAGAATTAACACATCACATTCAATCATTGGTTGAGAGCTCACACTTTACACACAATCATTGATGTGAGAATTAACAAATCACATTCAATCATTGGTTGGGAGCTCCCACATAACACACAATCATTGAGATGAGAACTAACACGTCCCATTCAATCTTTGGTTGGGAGCTCCCACACTACACACAATCATTGAGGTAAGAACTAACACATCACATTCAATCATTGGTTGAGAGCTCCCACATTACACACAATCATTGAGGTAAGAACTAACACGTCACATTCAATCATTGGTTGAGAGCTCCCACATTACACACAATCATTGAGGTAAGAACTAACACCTCACATTCAATCATTGGTTGAGAGCTCCCACATTACACACAATCATTGAGGTAAGAACTAACACATCACATGCAATCATTGGTTGAGAGCTCCCACATTACACACAATCATTGAGGTAAGAACTAACACCTCACATTCAATCATTGGTTGAGAGCTCACACTTTACACACAATCATTGAGGTAAGAACTAACACATCACATTCAATCATTGGTTGAGAGCTACCACATTACACACAATCATTGAGGTAAGAACTAACACATCACATTCAATCATTGGTTGAGAGCTACCACATTACACGCAATCATTGAGGTAAGAACTAACACATCACATTCAATCATTGGTTGAGAGCTACCACATTACACACAATCATTGAGGTAAGAACTAACACATCACATTCAATCATTGGTTGAGAGCTACCACATTACACACAATCATTGAGGTAAGAACTAACACATCACATTCAATCATTGGTTGAGAGCTACCACATTACACGCAATCATTGAGGTAAGAACTAACATCACATTCAATCATTGGTTGAGAGCTACCACATTACACACAATCATTGAGGTAAGAACTAACACATCACATTCAATCATTGGTTGAGAGCTCCCACATTATTACACACAATCATTGATGTGAGAATTAACACATCACATTCAATCATTGGTTGGGAGCTCCCACATTACACACAATCATTGATGTAAGAACTAACACATCACATTAACTCATTTGTTGAGAGCTCCAGCATTACACACAATCATTGAGATAAGAACTAACACATCACATTCAATCATTGATCGATAGCCAGCACATCACACTCTATCATTGATGTAAGAACTATCACAAATATCTCAATCTTTGGGAGAAGTAACACATCACATCCAGTCATTGGTTAAGAGCTAGAACATCATACACAGTTATTGAGGTAAGAACAATAAGCTCTTAATCATTGAGGTAAGAACAATACATCTCTCTCAATCATTGGCACATTCACATTGTGTGTAATCTTTCAGTCTTTTGATTGAGATGCACTGAATCTTTGATGAAATATTTTTGGCCTGTTTTAAAATCACCTTATATAGCAGACTCTGCTGGACATGAACCAGCAACTTTCATGAGTTAACATGAATGTGTTACATTACACCAAGAGAACTTAACTATCTTATGATGAAATCACAACAGGCATTGATTGTACCAAAGTATTTTCCTGGGGGGGAGCCCGGGTATTTTTATACAGCCAAAAGCGATTGATGGTTTTTGATTGGAAAGCCTTATTTAATGTTTATTCTAAATTCGCACCTGTGGATGCTCTCACCACCTTTTATTAGACATGCTGCTAATCCTGTACTTGCTGTCAGGTGACACGCTTTTTCATTTTGGATTAAGTTTTTCTTTTTTATGAACATATAGATTTATCCATCCCTGCCTGAATAAGGAGAATGACATTAAGGTGATTATTGCCCTTTTTACATTTATCTCTGACATTTTGAAGAAGATTCACATCATTTTACAAAAAAACATAATTTTCCTCATTTTGAAGAATTTACTGCTTTGAACTTAGCACACTTCCTATTGTAAGCTACAAAATATGAAAAAAATTGGGCCAACGGTATTTGAGTTATCGCCTGGATGGACGGAGGCGTTCCCTATATCCCTCTGAACTTCATTTGATGGGATAATAATTCAAGGGGATAGGTAAAAGGCCAAAAGTTCCTTAGTCTTCGGAGGGCAGGCAGTGAATTCGTCCATACCATATCCATACATTTCTAAGACAAGTATTTGAAAATCAAGTTAAACCTCTTAAGAACCCCTACTCTAACCAGTTGGGTTTGATTTTAGATAGTAGATATGCTCAGTAACCTAAACACATAATATTAAGCTGCCCGAGGCTTAATTAATTAACCCATGTTCTTCTGATAAAATGAGGATTTTTATATTTTGACCACTAAGGCTTCTGGCTAAAGGGACCAGACTATCCTCATCATTCACAGCTACAGCATTGTCAGATTCACCATGGCTATGCTGCTTAATTTTCTTTCTTTGGTTGAACTTAAGACATGATTCCTTATCACCTGCAAATGAGAGCAGTCTACATACAATGAATGATTGAATGTCACAGTGCTCACCTTAAGAACTAATCCGTTGCCAGACATTTTGGCAGGACACAATTTTTTTCACCAGACATTTTAAATGGAAAAACTTTTCTATTTAAGTATTGACTTCCGCTTCAAAATAAGTTGAATAGTTTTTGTCAATTCAGGCCAAAAATACGCTTTTCTGGGGGTGAAAATGCTGGTGAATTCATAGTTTTCAAGTGGAAATGTTATTTTTCTGTCAAAGTCCTTGACCAAAATGTCTGTGTCCTGAATCAGCACCAGATATTTGAAAAGTAAACCAGATTTTGTCTAATGTCCGATGAGTTTGGCAAGCACTTGAATATATCTAATAAGTGTCTGAAAATAACAATATGTGAAAGTCTAGCAATTTTTTCAAGAATGTTTTTTGAACACGTGCCTAAACAAACTAATATCATAATGCATTTATCCATTTTGTGATTATTTGAATTGTCCTCTACATTCTTTACCTCTACCTACTAGAGTCAATACGTTTATTTCCAAACACCCCCATCAAAAAATGTAGTTTATTTATTATACACATGACATACATTTACTGGTTCAAGTATGCCTTATGTATAGCTCATTATCAATTAAAGCGAGTATGAATGAGGAAAAAAATCGAAAAGCATTATACGTTTAACTTATCTCTTAATTTGGACATAACAAATATATTTCAACTATAATTCTAGGTCAATTCTGCCTGCTAGAACATCTTAGTAACTATTCTTACCATCCAAGGGAATTGATAGAGGTCCAATATTACCTTTATTGTCCATTTTCCTATGAGTTGTAGTTAACCAAACATTTCAGGCGGTATATGCATGTCTTGCTCGGCGGTAGGTTGTATATACAGGGTGTCAAATAAGTCCCGTCCCCCCTGCTACAGCTAAAGCCTTAACAGACGGTACCTAGTGTGATATACCATTGGAAAGATCATCCAAAGTTATGTTAACTCACCAACTCTCAAGTATTTTGGATGAAATTTACCTATATTTTTATGATGTCTTTTATAGTTTACGTGCACTCCTTTAAGTAGCTTTTTTTGCGTCAAAATGACAAGGATATGACCTCAGAAATACGTCAAAAAGTTGATCTTTTTCGCATTCCACTTGTTACAAAATGGTTTTCAGCACTTTCCTTGCCCCTCTATTTTCTACACATCTAACCCTATCCAGAAATTGGTTAAATTCATTGCCATAAACATATTTAGTCATCTTTTGGTCCCTTGACCTTTCTTATACCCGATTCTTAAAATCCTGCCAAATATGCCAAATTGCCATGTTTCTAGGCATATGGTCACCTCAATTGATACGATGTAAAAATTTGTGAGATTGATTGACATGTGTCAGATATATGCCAATCAACGTAACTTTGGAAGACCTTTCCAATGATATATCACACTTGGTACCAAATATCTTGGTTTTGGCTGTAGAGGGGGGGACGGGACTTATTTGACACCCTGTACATGGGTAGACTTTGCCCTCGTGAACATGGGTGTATCTTTTAGATCCATGCATTATCTTCAAGAAAAGTATAACAGACTTGCCAACCCCCCGTTTTTTACGGGAATCTGCCGTAAATTTTGTTTTTCCGTAAAAAATACCAAACTCCTGTACTATTTTCTCCTGTAAAAACTCCCGTACCGTATTTCTACTAAAATCTCCCGTAATTTTTTTAAAAAAATATGGCCGTAAAATCTCCCGTATTCTGGTATAACTCCCGTAAAATCTCCAGTTTTGTGGTATAAATCCCGTAAAATTTCCAGTTTTCTTGGTATAACTCCCGTAAAATCTCTGTTTTTTGCTGTCAAAATCTACCGTATTTACAAGGAATTTGACAATTTTGTGACCTTGATTATTGCAGGCACGCTTCTTTCTTTTACTCCAAGAAGGATTGGCTCCCATGGTTCACTATTGAAACTTTCATAAAAGTACTTCATTCCCATGATTTAAATTGCTTTTCTGCGGTCAGTTCGGTATAAATTTACACACCAAATGTCCACAAACGGGGGCCAGTTCATATTCCATCATACTTCTGTCGGGCGAATACATTTTGTTTTTATATGGCGCTAAACAAAATATTCCCGCAATATAAGGCACATTATGGGTAGGGACTGCTGTACAATAATGAACGTAAGTGACATCTATCTTAGATTATAAGTTCAAATTATTTCAACCAATTAAATCGGTGGATTTAATGCTCATGCGCGAAAAACCGAACCTTAAAATGGAACCTCACCGCAGATTGCCCTTAGCATATGGTGAACGCCACATATACATTTTACTTAGCTTTGATCAATTAGTTTCCAAAGCTATAAAAACTGCAGTTTTTTCAAAATCTACCGTAAAAACTCCCGCTTTTTCAGAAATCTACCGTTAAAACTCCCGTATTTTCAGAAATCTACCGTAAAAACATCCGTTTTTTCAGAACCTACCGCAAAAACTCCTGTTTTTCTGAAATCTTCCGTAAAAAGTCAAGTTTTTTAAAATTTAGAGACAGAGACATATTCAATTTCCTAAAAGGAAAAGTTGATTGCTCCTGGGAATTTAAAGTTACTGAATTTGGATTACCAAAATGAACTGAAACCAATGCATAGCATGAGATTTCTCAATGGAGAAATAATAATTCAGATAGATTTTGAGAAAAGGCCTATTTATAATAGTCCTGAATCTGATATACATGTATTGGATTTCAGCTTGAGACATGACTTCAAGAAGCTCACTTGGCAGAAAATCATCAGCATTTACTCTTATCCCAATGTATCCAAGATGGTAGACCTACTGCTGGTACTTCCAAGTAGCACAGCATCAGTAGAGCGAGCTTTTAGTCAGCTGAAGCTTCTAAAGACATCTTCAAGGTCAAGACTCACCAACAGGACACTAAATTCCCTACTCATGATCAAGCTTGAGGTAAGAGCATTAAGAATAAGTTTTGTTAAACACTAATGGTATTGCTAAAAAATCCAACTGTATGTGTAATAATGCATGTCTTTTATCATTTTCCTTTCAGTCTCTGGATGTTGAAGTATACGATCCATATAGTGCAATTGAATTGTGGTATAGTGCCAGTGATGGTGGAAGGAGGCCAGCCCATGTTAATAAGAGGTCAGAATCAGGATGTCAATGTTCCTGTTCCAATGGATGATAATAACATGATCAGAATCAGGATGTCAATGTTCCAGTTCTAATGGATGATAATAACATGATCAGAATCAGGATGTCAATGTTCCAGTTCTAATGGATGATAATAACATGATCAGGGATCAGAATCAGGATGTCAATGTTCCAGTTCTAATGGATGATAATAACATGATCAGGGATCAGAATCAGGAGGTCAATGTTCCAGTTCCAATGGATGATAATAACATGATCAGAATCAGGATGTCAATGTTCCAGTTCTAATGGATGATAATAACATGATCAGGGATCAGAATCAGGGATCAGAATCAGGATGTCAATGTTCCAATGATCTTTGAAGGAACTGCGATAGTGGTTTAGATGACGAGATTGACAAGTATCAGTAATAATGATTATCAGAAAAGACTATCAAGAATAAAATCTACATAATCTGTAAAATATGGTTTTTTTTGAGAAAATATAAGAAAATATTGTGGCTAATATTTTTTAGACTTTTTCAACTTATCTAGACCCCTGTTTGATGTGTTCATAATTGATAAAAGTAACTATTTCCATATTATTTTCAATGAAACCTTTGGGGGCACCTTCAGGTACATTAGGGACTGGATCCTTTAAGCTAAACCACATATGCCGTGTATACTTATTATAGATACATAATATACACCAATAAACTTATAAATCATATTTAAATATCATAATTTAAGCTAAACCACACATGACACATTTGGCATATAACGTATTAGCTTGATATTTTGAATTGATACAGAACATACAGGGTGTTCCAAAGGTCTTATTTCAGTTATCTAATCATGAAGACCATTTGTTCACGATATGCTTCATGAACCCTGAAATAACCACTATAAATTTTGACTCAGATTCTACTTGATTCCCCAATGTTCCTACGGTGTCGACAACGAAACTCTCCTAATTATTCACCTGCCGCAAGATTCCAACCTCTAGTGCAAGTAGATCATTTCAACAACACGTCCCAACTCCCTCAACAACCCCCATAAAAATGTGTCCTTCGATGAATTTTGTTGGAACAGCAATGAAACAGTATATATGCCTAACAGCACGATTCTAGATTTGGGGTCAAATTTTGGGTTATGGAAGATTCTGTGTTGTATTTTGCATGCAGCATACACTGATACCCAGGGAAGCGATTTGAAGACAAGTAAAAAGAATTGAATTACAATTAGTATACATAAAGTTAGCAGTGTTCAAATGTACGATTAATTTAATGTGTAGAAATCATTATATGGTAAATGACAATTTTTATTGCACGATTTAAACTTGATAATATAGACAGGTGTGACAATATGTGCTGCTTATATTCAAATACTAATAAGGATGGATAACAGATGAACTTTGTCTTCCATTACAGAAGTGTACAAGAATGGACTTGGTTATTAGGTGACAAAGACACTGTTCACAGGTTTTGGGCCTGTAGGAAGAGGATATCACATTGTTGCCAAAAACCTCTTTCCCAGCCTGACATTATTCCACTACCTCACTAAAGTGAACACTTTTAACACTGTATAAAATATGAACTTAATGAAGGGAATACTATAGACATATTTGGTTGAAAGGCGTAGCATACGCTCCTGGAAGAAAGTGTATTTTAACATTATAAAGAGAATATTGCTAAATGCTTATATAATTTCTAAGGAAAACAATGCAGCCCAGCTTTCAAGGTAAGACTTTCACCTGGCCATCATTGCCTCCCTAGTTGTAGATATCTAGCATAAACAGCAGATGACTGTTTCTGGCTGAGAATTCATGGCACATGTCTTGTTTGTAGTGAACCACACTACGAGCCGCAGTGCTATTACATATCACTATGGCTGGCAGATGGTTTATCATATGTATGTATGTATCTTTATTTCCCACGTACATGTGGATTTCATATGAACTTATATTACAGGCGCATTGACCATGTTGACACTAGTAATCTGCTAGCGTCATTAACAATAACGTTACAATTTTAAAAGTACAAGTTTAAATGTGAAAACAATACAATCATGTAGTCAAGGCAACTTCACATAAACAACTGACATGATTGGTTCTTGTCACATGTTGGTATTGTGTGATTGTAAAATCTACACTGTTTTATTGGTTGTATTCCACGTATTCCACACAGTCTTGAAATTTTGAGAAATTACAAGGCTTAAACAAACATGCCTAAAATATGATATTGTGCAAAATTTTACCTGTAATCTCTTTTTCATGTTTTGGTTTGAATGTTTACATGATATCAATTATTGAACTTGTCAGTAGAGTGTTTTTAGGACAATTTTTCAAATGTTTTTGAGCAGAAAGATATTGTACCGTTTTGGTAGTTGCAAGAAATGTCTGTTGTTTTTCTGTCAGTCTACCTCACATCACAAAAACCACCAATGAAAGCAAATAGTCATGAAGCCTAAACAACCGTGATTTTAAGAAATTTCATGTTGTTTATTGGTAATCTGATGTTAAGCCACCCAGGGTGGCGTCACATTCCCTGAATATCCATATGATCTTTGGAATAGTCTTTGAGATCACTGGAAATTGCTGAAACTGAAACTGGTTTAAGTGATTGGATATAAGGTTCCTTGTAATATTAATAGTTATAATAACAATTAGTGAAACCATTATATAAATTATTTAATTATACTTTAATTATATTATAATTATACTTTAATTATATTATAATTATACTTTAATTATATTATAATTATACTTTAATTATATAAATAAACCCATTATCTTTTTTAGAAGGCATACAAGGCTCTGTACAATGAGAAATCAAATTATGTGTAAGGCACTTATGACTGGTTTAAACTAAGCAATTCCTTTTCTTGTGGGTTTCTTAACAATTTTGGTCCTTTTTCCTGGCACTTTGGAAAGCCAGAGAAAGAAAAGCCCCTGCCTTGGGTATTGAAGTATAATGGACTTGATTTAATAAGTGTGAATAAGAAGTACTGGCTAACGGATTTGGGCCAAATTATATCGGTAGCTGCTTTATGGACATCAATATAGCTGCTCAATTTAAAATGGTTGCCATTTTGTAAAACTATAACCTCTGTTACATCAAATTCAAGTTCACTTATTTAGACAAATTATAACAGCGAATTATGGATTCAGAAGTTTCTATTCAAGAAAAGTGTTTTAAAATGGTCAATAGATTCTAGACATTTGGTAAATATCAGATTGTCTTATGCTAACAACAGGGATGACAACATCTCTTATTCTTAGGTTAATAAATCCATGTGAGCCAAAACATGAGATGCCATAAGAAGTCTCCAGAGAAATTACTTGTATAAGCAACTCTAGAAAACTTAACAATCCACTTGATTACAAGGCAAATGGATTTGGAGTGTCGATTGAAAAATCCAAAGGAAAAATAAAAAACACATTATTGAAGATAATAAAACGCATTTAGATGTGCAGAAAGTGATATTTATGCCATTAGACACAAAAGCATTAACTCAGTCTTTAATTTTAAAAAGATGTTGAAAAATGTAAAGAAAGGAGATTTTATAATTTTATTCTGATGCCACTGTCAATTTGTACTAATTTTATGAGAAGTATTTATTATATACAATATGAGTTTTACTGCAGAAAAGGGTGTCAATTTGCGCTGTGACCCCCCTTCCATTCAATACCGGGGAACGCACCCACAAAAACTATATATCAAATTAAACCTCATTTAATTCTGAATCAATTGACTTCATTTGACATTGTTTGGACATTGCTACAAATTGCTGCATTGTTTTTAGCATGCCTCCCATATGTCCCTTACAGTGTACTCGTATATGTCCCTAATGTGACATTTCAAGTAATTCTTAGTGAAAAAGTGAACAAAGGCACACCAACTTTATGATGATGATCAGAAACAATTTATTGGCAGAATTAGATGCATTGCATAATATGAAACAAGGGATGATGCATGTGCCGATTTTAAAATGAAGGACCCACGGTCCTGTGCTCACACAGTTTGGAACATTCAGAGGAATGTATATCCTGACTTTCAAACAAAAATATTGATTTGGATTTGTAGTCTCGAACTTTGAGAAACTTAGATAGCACAGTTGTGTGACCTAGTTTGATGACCTTTAACCTTGAAAATTTTACTTATTCAGAGCTCAGTAAGGTATTTTGTGATTAAGCTGACCAAAATCTACATCCAAAAATCAATTTGAAAAATCAACTTTTTTGACATTTCAAAGGTCACTGAAGGTCAAGTAGAGGTCAAATCCTAAAACTTATGTCAGATTTGAACTCCTGGCAACTTGTAGATGATTTTCAAAAAAAAAATTGGTCAAATTGAAGCAAGTTGAAAAATAACTTATTTTTACTGTTTTTTGATGTCAAATATCTCAAAAACGGTAAAAATTTGATGCTGACATATATTGAGCAATATGTAGGGAATGCTTAAATCTAGTAATGATGTAATTCATTGCAAGAAATGATCAAGTATAAGGCAAACTTTGAGAAACTTGTCAATCAGAAAACCTGCAATTGACTTTATACACGAGAAAGTTTCCTGAAAATGATTAAGTCCTACTTTTTGTCAAATTTTATGGAGTAAACAACAAAAACTATAATTCCAAGAGCTTCGAAATCTTCAGAGGACATAAGTTGCATATACAGCAACTACTACAAGTTATTTGAAAGTTCTACTTCAACAAAGTGTCTAGTATTTACAGAAAATTTGACTTTTTGACGTCAAAATCCGCAATTTCTCGGAAACTGGGCGAACTTGGGAAATGGCGAAGATAGGTCAAATAGGCATTATGGATATGCATAAAATGAATGTGGATATGACTCAATCCAAATAGCAGTTTTAAATTGTGCGGCCAATGTTGACGGACGGACCAACGGACGGACGGACCAATGGATGGACGGACCAACGGATGGACGCCTGGTCGATCCCATAGGCTCACTGTGTGAGCCAAATACATGTATGGACGTTGGAGGTCGCCATTTAGGTGTATCAAAGGCACAAATCATAAAGACAATACAACATATTTGATCTAATATAACTAAATTTAAGCCTACATATGTACTTTGATAGGGTCTCTAAATTATAGCAATTCCCACTTTAGGCGCCCATTTTGAATTTTCTGAGGCACAAATCAGAAAAACAATGGCATAATTGTGATCTATACTCTCGAAGTCCTTCAATTTGAGTATAATAAAGCCATACTTTGAAGAGATCAGGAAATTACAGCAAAATCCCACATTAGGCAGGCATTTAGAATTTTCTGAGTCTTGGAAAAACAATAAAATATTTAAAATCTACTCTAAATTGCCTTTCATTTAAGAAGAATAAAGGAATTACTTCTATTCAGATCAGAGATCTCAAAATTAACAAAAATTCCTGTTTTCCCGACCCTCATACTCAGGCCCTAGGGGTCTTGCCAAAAAACATGGAATACGAGAACAGATATAATTAAGAGGGCTTCACTATATCATACCTGTCAATCTCTCAGAGAAAAAAAACAGGAGAATCCAGGAGATTTTTTGCAAAAAACGGGAGAAAAACAGGAGACTTTTACTGAAAAAAACAGGAGACTTCTTTTAAAAACAGGAGAAAACAGGAGGTTTCTTTTAGAAAACAAGTTACCATCTAAAAAACAGGAGAAAACAAGAGACTTTCAGTCTAAACAGGAGATTTTCTTAAAAAAAAGGAGAAAACAGGAGACTTCTTTTAAAAAACAGGAGAAAACAAGAGGTTTCTTTTAGAAAACAAGAGGTTTCTTTTAGAAAACAAGTTACCATCTAAAAAAAACAGGAGATTTTCTTTAAAAACAGGAGAAAACAATTTATTTTAAAAGCATGAGAAAACAGATTATCTTTAAAAACAGGAGAAAACAGGGTATTTTCTTTTAAAACAGGAGAAAACAGGATATTTTCCTTAAAAACAAGAGACCAAAATGATGCTGAAAACAATGAATAGCACGAGTTTTCCCTATGGGAAAATAACATGTGATACCAGAGTTTCTCGCGAATAGGCCCATGGGCGTTTATTTCAAAGAGGGGTGTATGAAAAAGTTGTTTTCCCTCTTTATAAAGGCCCATGGGCGTTTATTAAAAATTCTTTCAAATAAACGCCCAGTGGGCGAAACATTCAAGAAAAGGTATGAAATTGTGAACAGAACATATGTAAGGTAATAAGTGATTACTATCGTTCAAGTACAAATAATCAATAAAAATATGGCAAGAGATCACATATTGGTCAACGTTCTTGCATCCTGGGAGCCAATCCTCCTTGGTCCAGGATGGAAAAACCAAAAAGCTTACCCTAAATGTGACTGATAAATCTCAATCTATGACAAACTTCAATGGTAAAATCATTCAAACTTATTAAACATGATTTCTCTTAATGTATATACATGCTTAATCTTGGTAGGCTTACGCAATTGTGCATAAATAGACAAAATTATTCTTACCCCGTTTCACGGACATACTTACGAAGATTCTTAATGCCTCCACTCAGGAGATTATCTACGTAATACGCATGCGCTAGGATCGTAATAAAGGATGGATTCGCTCTTACTGATAAAATTGTTGCGCGTGCGCTAATTTCCTTGTTGTTGATTGGACATTTATATTAGATTAACTTTGTTTTTCATGATTAGATGTCGCTGGAGTTAATTGACTTATATGTAAGATACTGGAGACGATCGATGACTACTCGGATTCAAGTTAAAAATCGGGAGGTAGGAGGAAAAAACGGGAGGACACAGACAAAATCGGGGGATTTTTACCTAAAATATGCGAAGTTTTTTTGTAGAAATCGGGGGAAATCGGGAAAAAAAATCAGGAGATGATGAAAAATTACAAAATTAGAAAATCGGGAGATGGCAAAATTGCGCAGGAGATGGGTTAAAAAAACAGGAATCTCCCGATTTAAATCGGGAGTTGGCAACTGTGCTATATCCATACCGAACTTTGTTCGTTGGGATAACAAACTTGGCACAATACAAATGTACAATAGGGGAATGGTACAATAAACACAAGGTGACATGGCAGGTACAATAGGTACTAAAGGTACTACAATCACAACAGGGCATGCATGATACAATAAATACACTGGATAAAATGCATGCAGAGTATAGTAGTTAAGGTACCTGGCTGACACCGGACTGTTGGGGAGTACTGACCAAATGATTCCTTTTTCAGAAAGCTGGTGATGGGCTTTGACAACTTCCTCGGCAGTTTGATCCTTTTTGCTTGATTTGTTTCTGTCATCTTGGATTTCTGTGGTGATTCAGACTCGGCAGATCTTTTCTCACAGAGGGCGCTGAGGAGCTCAAGGCCATCTGCTGCATCCAAAAACTGATTGTCAAGGCCACTGATTTCTGGAGATATCATGCACCCAGGAGAAGTCATTTCTTCCGTTTTCACTGAGACTGGAGTGAGCAGAGTTGATGAATCTGCTTTAATGGAATGTCTGTGTGAAAAATCATTCATATTGTCTACTAGATTATGAGACTTTTCTCCACAACTGTCTCTGGAAATCTGTTGATTAAACTCACTGATTTTTTGAATATCCAATAACATGTGTGCACTTTTTGATAGTGTCATCATATATCCTTTGTGGTTTCTACATCATTTTGATTAACTTTGTTATCAAGACTCGCACTGTCATCTCTCTCAGCAGTTTCAATTCCATTCAACTTTTCTACATTTTCATTGCCACCATTAATCTGTTCCTCTACAGTGTCACTGACTGAAGCAGGGGTTTCCTCAACGTGAGATTGCACATCAACTTTAGGCTTAACATCCTGAATAACTTCAGATTTTGTAGAGCCCACTACTGCATTAACAACATTATCCTCCTCAGTCTTAGAGCCCACATCTAATTCAGTTTCTACTTTTTCTTTGATTGGAGATATTTTTCCTGCCACAGTCATTTTGCTAGTTGCAGAAGTGGTTGCAACTGATATAGGAGAAGTGCCACGACTTTGAAGACCAGATTCGCATTTGACAGATGGCGTTTCAGGTAATTTAGTTGGTGGTTTCAGCCCTGGGATAGGTGGCATTATATCAGGGTCAAATGCCAGATATGGAATGTTTGAGGGTGGATAGGGAAATGGATATGAATGTCCAGGGAGGGGGATTGGTGGAAGGAATGGCGCAGCAGGGGGCTGCTGCGCAAGTGATACAACAAACCAGGAATTTGTAAATTATCGTAAAATGCTTTATATTCCCAGCAAAAATTTCAAACTTCTAGCTATCTATTTCTTGAATACGTATAAATTAAGAACAGAAAATGATTTACAGTTTGTATCGTTTCTCCTTTATCAAAGCAACAATAATGCAGTTATGTATTCAGCCAGTCATTTCAGTTGCTAGTACTAAATTCATTTTTCTGTTTTCTTATGACTCGACCTGCACTGTTTTTTCTGACCCAACCCAACCCGAAGAATATCTGACCCATGACACCTCTACAAATTAATGAGGATCTCAGTTTTATATCAACATGTGAACTCTTCCACAATTCCACTCACTGGTCAATCCTAAGATTTCATGAAATTATTTTAATTTTTTTTATTATAGTACTATGTATATATACACAACACGTCGCAGCTGTTTCTAATCCAATATCAATATTGCATACTGGTATGTCTTTTTACAACTCAATCTGAATTTGATTTGACAATGAAATGAAATATCAACAAGCCCTGTTGGAACAAGCGTACAAAGCAATACTGTGGATTGGAATGCAACATCAGATCATCATCAATCATGTCAGTTATGCCTACACACACTCTATTTCAGGCATAACAAAATACATTCATGGTTGGCAATAAATTACCTTCAGTTTGCATTTAACATCAATTTTATTGAATCAATATTCTGTGAGCAAAAGATACTTTTGGTTTAATTTCCATACCTTTATTTGTAGGAATGAAGAATATCTGCCCTGTCATTGGATCCTGGGCAAGTTTAAATCCACCAGGTGGCGTAAATGGTAGCCTTGTTGTGGGATCAACACCTTGTGCTGTACTAGGACTGCCATACTGGGGCAGCAATGCTGGTTGGAGGAGAGACTGAGCACCCGCCCCAGTATAAAATGATGGAATCAAACTAGGGCGTATATCAGCACTGTCAGAGCTCCCTGGTGGCCATTGTGGGGCTGATGTAGTGCTACCACCTGAAAGTAATTCGTGTCAAATGCAGTTGTTTTTCTCCTTTTGTGTTCCTGTCTAACACTGATCAATTTCATTACTTCTCCAATATCAAGTCATTATCTGAGTTGGAATTCCAGCCAAATTATCAACTGATTCCACCAGCTCTACTGCATTAATAAGATGGTCTAGTCAAGTTATAATTCAGAGAGTTCTTCCCTCATATAAGATATTCAAAGAGAAATTGATTTAAATAATTAATTATTTTTGCAAATGAAATCAATATTGTATTGTAATGTATTGTATAACAATAATAATAGCAAGTTCATACCAGTGACAATGAGGTTAGAACTGAGGTCTGCAGTAAGGCTGCTACTGCTACTCCTGCTAGTGGGGGTCAGTAATTCCTTCTGGTCTCTGGATAATAGTATTAAAAGTATTGCATTTAATATCAATATAGTATTATTAGTTATTGCTGTTTTATAACAAATTTAATTGTTTGCATTGCCTTGTATTGTACTACTATTGTATTGTATTGCCTTACATTGCACCGAACTGGCTTTTTTATGTTATTATTGTATTGTCTTCATTTTAAATTGTTGTATCTACATGTCAAAGCATCAGAGGGATAATTTTTAAAACAAAATTAATTTCTGAGCCAGTCTGTACCTGTACCATTTTGTGCATTAGTCAGCCTCTTTTGAGCATAAAATTTGGGCTATTTGCGGGCCTATCTATTTAATCATCATCAAATAAATTACAGCAACAGAATATAGGTAAACATTTTTGAGTCAAATGACAATTAAAGAAGCCTAGCAAGTTTCATTCTAGTTCTGCTCACCTATGATGTTCTGTCCGATCTCTGTGGGAGCCATGGTCATGTGACTGGTCACGTGATCCTCGTCTAGAACTGACACCAGACCGGGAATGCTCCCAATCTACTCGACCGTTATCCTTCTCTGAAAACAAAGTGGGAAAACGTATAACTATCTCTTACTTTATCTGACTACTTGTATCATTAAACAAGTATAGTTCTATGCACATTACAAAAAATGATGGAACAATTACAGCCTGCATGCAATTTAATGTCAATATAATTGTTAGTTTGTCAACTTCATATCAATCCTAATGATCTCAACTAAATTATTCAGTCATCCTAAATCAGAGATATTATTAACACATTTTTGTTTGGTAATTTTCAAACTGTGTGGATAATATGCCCAATAGGGTGTCATCCACTTTAATTTGTATTTCTATACTTTTACTTTTGGAAATAAATAACATAACTAAACTGATTGGAGGATTCTAATACCTGTCTTTGTTTGCTGTCTTTGCCTGGCAACTGCTATTCCAACTGGAATACTTCCACTGCCTGAAGTTGTGAGAACATCTTCTGGTTTCTTCCCATCACTACTCCTTGATTCTCTTTTGATAGGTCGTTTCTCCTCCTGCTTTTTGACAATTGGTGTTGCTCTTGCAGTTGACTTAGGTGTATTTGATGTCCCTGTTGTTGTTGTAGTTGAAATGATTGTTGCTGCTTTAGACACTGATGACTCAGGCTTAGATGCCTTAGTAGAGAGATCCACTACACCATCTGAACCTGCCGAATGTGGAATTGGGAGTGGTGGAGAATTCAAATACCAGTTAGTTTCAGCCAATCTCTTCCTCTGCTCCTCAGCCATCAGTCTAGGAGAGAGGCCCTCATAAGGGGAGAGGTAGCCATGTGCTGCAAGGGCATGGGACTGACCCATTTGGTAAAGCAGGTGCCTGGCATCCAGAGGGAGGGCAGTTGGTACCACAGTCTTAGAACCTGGTGAGAAACCAGTGTAGCTAGTCTCTAAAAACTTTGCTGATCCAGGTGGTTTTCCAGGATCTTGTGCAATGTCCCTATAGGGCATGTGTGGGGTGGAGGGGCTAGCATGGTTGGAACCTGGCCCTAAATGGCCTCCAGTTGCAATAGACAGAGGCTTCAGTTCACGACCAGCCTTTGCATCAAGCTTTGAGTCTGTAATTCTAGTCCTTCTAGTGGCCCCTCTTTGTTCTCCTGGGTGTAGGAGTACATCGCCTGGTACTGGGGCATCAGCAGGGTTGAAGCACCACTCATTGTTACAACTGCTTTAGAATCAACTGCTGTTGCAACTGAAAATAGAACAATATATTTTATTCCATTCTATTATAATGTGTATTTTAGCTTCAGAGTCCACTGCTTTTATTACTGAAATAGATTCTTAGATGATATTGTAGTTTAGGTTCAGACTCCACTGCTGTCGTTGTTCCCTCTTCAAAAGAGGAGATGCAAAAGATTTCCCTTATAAGGTCAGAATATTTCCCATGATGCAGTTCGCGAAGGAACAAATTCATACTTCCTTGTTTCTCCCATTGGTTTAACATGGGGATTTTCACACCTATTTTTCAATCGATACATTTGTTCATATCCCCATATGGGAGTACAGAAAAAATTATCAGAAATGATTGATCTCCTATTAATCTTAATATAACAGATATTTTGTTCATTGTTTTGATTCATAGCGTGGTGGAAAATATTCCAGAAGAAAGGGTCATGTGATCAGTTGACCAGTCACCATATTGGAAAAAATAATTTCATTCGACTTTCAACACTTTCATTCCAATCTTACCGCACTACAAACTGCAACATCGATGCAACAACAGAATAAAAGTACTCATCTTCAAATTGCATTTATATAGTTACTTTGAAAATCTACAAACAATTTTGTCCATTTTGAGGGCTTTTTAAGTACATATTTTCGTACCTTGTCGATTAAAGAGTGAACCACGAAAGGCTTAATTGAAAATAAAACAACACATTTTATTCTATTTTGTCAGATGATTATTTAAGATTCCTACCATTTAATTGCCTTTAATAAAGATATATGGCTTACAAGTAGTTGTTTACAGTGATTCACATTTAGCTGTAATGGCCTTATCCGCATCCCTCGCCATGTTTCTCAAGAATTATAGTCCTCAGTTTTACGACTATTAATGGTTAGCAGTTACATAGCACCATGTATCATAAGATAATGCTTCTTTGATTATTTTCTTTTTCATCTCATTTTACAAATAACAGCATGAATCAGCAAAGTAAGGTAGCTTGTATATTATAAGATTGTTATTCTAGATGTAGATGGCTGACAGGGGAATATAAATCAACTGAACCCAAACAATAGTCAATGATATCAGTACATGATCTTGTATATTGTGGCATGACATCACATAAAGAAAATATCATCTCTGATATAAAATATTGTTTCAGCACTGACAGTTGCATTGCATGTCATTTCTGTATAAATATGTGGAGTAGATCAAAAACAAGATTTGGCATTTATTTAAAACTGATGTTTTATAGTACATGTAGTAAGCTAGTTTAAAACTGTATTTGACACTTGATGTCTTTTATGATTTGTTACCATAGCAACATTAGGATGAAAAGCAATTGTTTCACAGAGAAAAGACCATAAACGGCATGTTATTATCTTTTCACTGCTTTACAATACCTAACAGTAGACATAGTGTCCAAGTAGATCACCCATACATATGATTTGTGGTTTCCAGAAGGAAGGATAGCAAAAGCAAATGTTCTTTTGATTTTTTTAACAGAGGTATTATTCGTTTTTTAATGCTTGAAATGATGGTGTGAATATAGTGATTCATATCTGTTTATAATGTCAAGACAAACATATGTTTGAATGTTTTCTTTTATTTAGTTAACAAATAATTTTTTTCTCATTACTGAAGTTGCTATTTACCCTTTCATTTGAAATAAGATGATGTTTACTCATATTGCATTTTGTGAAAACAAATAAATGAGAGGTGAAATGGTCTCCGTGATATTAGAAAAACACAATAACTATTATAAAGTATACACTAATATAATATGCAAATGTACATATGTAAAAGCCTAAAACCAATATCTACCTAAGCTGCTTTCTCTGAAATGTCGCCAGCTAAAATTAATTGTATTATAACCCTACACTTGCAATTGCAAATATTGTAACCTGAGTAGTTTTTTAGCCGATACATTTTTTCTTAAACCAGATATTACATTTCCTTTTAGTTTTATTTCTGTTGATAATTCATATTTTTATGAGTTCATGAATACAAAAAATTGTCACTGTGAAGCAAAGTAATGGAAGGGTTGCTGTCGCAATGTCAAAGTCTAAACAGTGTGCTCTTAATCCAAAGATATAAAAGGAATTCATGACTATTATGGGGAAATGGGAAAGTCATTTTAAGATTTAAGAACCAGAAATGCCTGAATTTTATTATCTGAAAAATGAATAAATGCAGAAATAAAACATAAAATTGCTTGAATTTAAGACAAAAATGAATAAGTACCGTGGGTACTGGGCTGACATGGTGACAGAAAAAAACGGATATAATTTTTTGCTGATTTTTTGTTACAAAATTATTTCAAGCCATCTGTCTCTCAGTCAATTAAAATGGCTGAAAAAAACGGACATAATTTTTTGCCAATAATTTGTAACAAAATTATTTCATACAACTACTCTTTACAGTGACATGGCTTTTTGCAATGCAAGACACCTGAAATTATTTGTAAAGCTAGGAAATGGGCCAAAATTGAATTTCGCGAGACAAAAATGGTGACCATTTTGAAATCAGGCAAGTTTTTGAACCAGGAGTCATAGGGGAGTTTTTTGTATTGATGTTGAACAAAAATAACTTGAAACTGGAATCCTATCGACAGAGGTTTTAAGCAAATTACAATTACAACGTTATCCCTGCTTCGGATTTATTATTATTATTATTATTTATTGCTCTCACTATTTACAACAGTGGCACATGATGAGTATCAGTGCGGCAGAATGACATATCATTAAAATACAATATATTACAGCATTAAAAAACATTAAAATATTTGTTAAAATACATTACACAACTGGACAATAAATATCAGTTATACAATATTATACATAATAGACTTTTATCTTCATGGTCATTACAGAAAGTGAAAGTGAGTAAAATCATTGTTTTAATATCTCTTTATTGATATCCACTAAAAATGTTTTTGATAGCTTATCAAAAGTAGAGCCTAGATCGTGTCCCCAATATAAAGCTACATCATCCCCCAAAATCCAACGTGTTTTCTCGGAAATGGAAAGTTGTAAAAAACTGTTAACAATTGAATCTGGGCATTCTTTATTAAACTTTTCAAAAAACATATTTCGTTGTGTTGTTGTGGATGGGCAAGTAAATAAGCGGTGTTCAAGTGTATCTTTTTCTGAGGGGCAAGTATTACAAAACCCATCTGACAGTCCCCTCCTTTCAAGATCTGTATTCAAGCCCAGACATTTAGCGCGAGCTCTGAATTTGATATGCTGGCTGTAAAAATCCATGCCTGTTTTCAGATAATTTTCTAAAAAAGTATGGTTCTTAACAGTCTTGAATAGTGACAATGATGATTTATCGCATATTGCCTTGTTAAAGCATCTTACCCATTGTTCATTTGAAATATTTAAATATGATGTGTACCAGTCAGTATCGTCGCGGTATATAACATCATCAAGTCCAACCTCAGTTAGGATTGAGTGGACATTTTCCATAAAGGGCCATGGTGTCTTGTGACCAAGCTTTAACTCATGTAGCAAATGATTGAAAATATCTTTATGGAGTCCATTCTTCAAGGAACTTTTTAAGTAAATAAAATAGTCAATCTGGCGTTTATGTATAATATCGCAGATGGGTCTCCACCCAAGGTCACCAAGGAGGGATTCTCTTGCAGGGTTGCATTTGAGATAATTGTGATACTTTTACATCTTGTAGATTTAAATGTCCTCTTTTGAATATTCATAAATTAATTTGGGTGATATTTCTATATTTTTCATAAAAAAATTATTAGCCCAGGAGACTGTTCTCCAAACCGAGACTTCTCCTTTGGATATATATCAAAATAAACTGACTTGTCAGTGATTCTTAATTCTTAGGCCTCTCTGGTAAAAGTGAGACTGTTATAGACATCATCCGTCTGCAAAATTAAATTACCAATAAAACCTTCCTGCTGTTAAAATTTCATTAAATTGATTTTTGGGGAGGAATGCTTGAGATGGCACAGCCTTACTCAGTGGTAGTTAACCTAGTGTAGTAAGGGGGAGGGGGGAGAAAAGCCCCTGTGATTCTTTCCTCCTACTGAATGTTAATCTTCATACAATAGCGGCAATGTATTAGATAGAAAGGTTTCATTCATTTAATAAATTTAGATATCGACGAATTATAATTCCTCACTACACATGACATGAATTCATAAGCAATAATCATCTATGATTTCTGTTTCCTCATATGTAATATTATTTAGATATCGACGAATTATAATGAAAAAGAAACATAATATTTAATGTCATGGAACAATTGCATTTAATTTTCCAAAATGGTATACTGTCTGATTTTCTCTAAAATGGCTCCCTCTTTTTTCCCTGTTTTTGTGTTATAGCTTTCCTGGAAATAATTATTGTATTTAATTTGCAAACAACATATAGTTTTATGTAATGTGATGCAAACTGGAGTAAGTCACCATTTACTTAACATGCTCTTCTTTTTAGATTGAGGGAGTTCCTAATGCCAAGAAAAAGAAGTACCCAGGGTATAAGGATTTCTTTTATGGGTCCCATGATACGTAAGTACTTTAACCATATTTTTTATTTTTATTTATTTACTCACACTTTTAAAACAGTCGCACATGGAGAACAGGAGAAAAATAGGATACATTTTGAAAAAACAGGAGAAAAACAGGATATAGTTAAAAAAACAGGAGACATTTTAACCTTCTGCAGATCATTACTCTCGCCTATCATAATGTTTGGATTAAATAAAGAATGCCTAGCTATAAGAGGTGTTTCACTTTTACTGGTTAGAATTAATGCACATGCGCCAATTTTTTTTTAGTTGATTGGTCAATTAATATTATTTTAAATATTCCTGTGTTGAGAAGGCACTAGATTACTATTGATTAATCATAGAATTTGTGCATAATTGGAATTAAACAATTTACATATTTGTCCATGGGAAACAATAAAAAACTAGCAGTTTGAGGAAATTGAAATTTTGGCAATTTTTAAAGTTATTAACCTGACCACTAATCTAACCGTTACTTAAGTTTTACACTCCAGTCATGGCTAAAAATGAGTTTCTATGTCTGCTCTTTTAGGTGCACAAAATTAATGATTTATTTGACATAATAATATTGATCTTGTAACACTGAATAAGCACTTAGTAGATACCCACTGATTAACTACACTGTTCTGTTACAGTTAGTGGAAATCATGATGGTCTGTAAAAATGACTGAATAAAATTATTTTTTCACTTTTGAGGTGTAGGAGAATGGGTGCTATTTTTTCAAGATGTCTGCCATATTTCTCAAAATGTCAGCTAAAACCAATTGTCTTTTTTAAATTCTAGCCCTTTTTCAGCAAAAAACATTTGTCATTTTTAAATGCTAGGCTTTTAAAAAAGAATTATCTCCACATTGTACAAGCTTCAATTCAGTGGGGGCTCATTATTTTTCAGAAATGTTTTGAAGCAAACATAAAAACAGATAATAAAAATGTTGGTCAAAATAACTGTTTTTGCTCACATGTGGTAGGACTGTAAAATCATATTTTCTAAAATATGGGTAAAACCAGGCATGGTTTAAGGAATTTAAGGAATAATTATTTGAATTCGTTTCAGCTCTTTCTTGAGTCCTGAAAACATAGTACCCTACACTGATGGAAACCTATGTATACATGGAGTACCACATTTAAGAAACAAATGCTTCAATGCAGCTCTTTTAGAGGTAATGACATTTTATTGACTCTCTAATGCTTGCCACCTTTTGGTGGTAAAAGTATTGAAATGACCACACAATATTAAAATAAAGTTGTAATCATTGAATACATATTGAATAATATACACATATGGGCATGTAAGATACAAAAGGTGGAGTAAAATGAAACCTGCTTATACCCAATAGAGGGCTTAATTGTAGCATACTGTAGATTGGGTTAATTTGGCGCCCGCTTTAATTTGGCGAATTTGGCGAAATTGAAAAACTCGCCAATATAAATCTTTGCCAAAATTTAGAATAAATTCCCAGAATTATCTAGGGTATTTCGTCCAGTTAGGTCACCTCCGGTTTAGTTTTTTTCCAAAAATATGAAAAATGTCTCTCATAAATTGGCTCAGAACTGGTTAGTCCCTCATGAATATTCAGGGAAAAACTAGAAAGGAAAAGCGCGGTATAGTAGCAGCATCAATCGAGGTGCAAAATATAAAGGCTGATTTCACAAAAATGTACAAACGTGGTGAATATCGCCAGTGGTCCTCAAAAGAAAAAATGAACATAGCCAAACATGACCATTTACATGGTAATTCGCAAACAGCGCGTAGGTTTAACATTTTTTGCATATCCGCCAAATTAAATAGCCGCCAATATGCCAAAAATGGCAACATCGCCAAATTAAATAGCGCCAAATTAACCCAATCTACAGTATTTCATAAAAAATTTTAATTTGATAGCATCATTAGCATCTTGTACTTACCCCAAAAGACTAGTCTCGGTTTGGAGAACGAAGTTCATCACTCTAATTGAGCGTTATCCCGGCTTCGGACAAATTTGATTTTTTTCATCATATAGATTTGAATGTCTTCTTTTGAATAGTTATAATTTAATTTGGGTGATATTTCTAGATTTTTCATAAAAAATTATTTGGGCAGTACACTGATGAACTTTTTCTCCAAAATCGAGACTTGTATTTCATTAAATCGGTCGGTTGCAACGTTATCCGTGCTTCGTACAATTGTGATATTTTTACATCTTGTAGATTCAAATGTCCTCTTTTGAATATTCATGATTTAATTTGGGTGATATTTCTATATTTTTCATGAAAAAATTATAAGCCCAGGAGACTGTTCTCCAAACCGAGACTTCTCCTTTAGGAGGAATGGTATATTTGTACAAAGTTTCACTTCTTGACTAAAGAGTGGTTTTAATTGCCATGCCACAACGAAAGAGCATTTGATTACTCCATTCAGAGATTTAACAAATATTAACCACATGCAAGCCAAGGTCACTGTTGAGGAACTCTTTCGCAGCAGTTACGATGATGGTCCATTTTTCTTCATTGCACATTTTCCTTCATGCACTGGTTTATGATCTGTATTGGGTAAAGCAGGTTTCATTTTACTCCACCTTTTGTATCTCATATGCCCATAAATGGCTATTATCTTTTGATGTCATGAATCTGACAAATCAATCACTGTTGATCTATTCAGATTAAGGAAGTCAATCCAGATTCACAAAGAAGAAATGGTAAACTGATATTAGTCGATACTACAGGTTGTCATTAAGTAAAGCTAATTTTGCTCTCAATTTTTTATTCTTTAAATTTTCATTTTTAAATGATAGGCTTTTAAAATGTTGACAGTTCAAATTTTCAAATTTTCACAGTTCTACACTCATGTATTGGACTGTGGTTGCTGATAATAACTAAGCTGTGTGACAATGTGTTTGCATTCTGTGGTTGCTATGGTATAATGGGTTTGCGGAGCAGTTCATTTCAACAAAATGACTTTAATTAAATATCAATATTTCAGTAAATATAAATAACAGAACAAATGCATCCATAAATCTGTAACTTTGATTATAGTGATATTTGACATTCATAGATTGATAATAAAATGAATAAGCATGCTAATTATGACATTAGACACTTTGATGGCATCAAAAATATGATCCAAGAACTGTGAAGAGAAACCATTTTCGTGATATTTTGTGCTGAGAAAAAATTGTTCTGCATACCCCTAATTCAAGTTGCTCCAACAACTACTATTTTGCAATACTGCTTCCAATCCCAATGATATTTGCAGGATACCATACACCAAGTATATTTTGATTCATCTGTGAAAATTTGAACCAGAAATATTTAACAAAAGCAAGATTAGCTTTACTTATTTAACGTCCTGAATAAAATTTTACTTATTTGCATTAACATTTTACAATGATACTTAATCATTAGTCAATATTATCAAACCACCAAAGCATTGGTGATGTTATATTGTCATCACCATGTCCCAATTACATTTTACATGTTAATCATTCTAAATGCCATAATTGGTGGTGTGATATTGACAACATCTGTTTAGTGTTCTATCTTAAGGATGTAGTAGCACCTCTTTTATTAATTTGCATACACATGAGTGAGTCAGGAGCCTGGTTGCAGTTTGTACAGACCCAAACAGATTAGCTGTATTTGTTCTTGTTGCCGAGAAAAGTGACTTGGAATAAAATATGAATACTGGCAGAGTAAAACCTATAGAATGTCATTCTTCAAAAGTGGATTGTAATAACTACAAATACTATAGGAGATAAAAATAGCAGACTATATTAACATTTTCTCTGATGTGAAAAAAGCACATTTTCTATAATCCAATGTCTGCAACTCCGCTAAGGGGTCAATAACTACATGAGTGTAGTTTGATATAACCTTCACAAATTTTACTACTCACTTCACTTCACTATCAGTTATTAATAAAACGCGCATAGAATTCTATGCGCTGCCATAGGCCATCATTAAAATTGTTTGCATCAAGGGCCGAATAGGCACGGATGTTAAACCTAGGGCGGGCCACAAGAAATGTCAGATAAGAAATACGGCCCAGACTAGGTTTAACTTGTTGAACTACTTGAACTTGAGATCCAGTGTTCTATCGTAGATCTAGGCTTACACGTATCATGGCCTATCATATGTGACATGACAGTTCTATTTTTATTTTCAGATTGTGCCAAATGACACTGAGTGTGAGATCAAGGATGTCAAACTTGGTGAGATACAAGAGCCTGAACAGCCCAATCAACAATCACGGTTTCATAATCCTAGCGAATCTGAAATATCAAAACTTGAAGACAGTCGACATGAAACTACAACAAAAACGCAAACCAAATGGGCCATAAAAATTGTAACAGGTAAAATGCCCGGTGTAAAATGTTACGTATAAATGTATAGATTATATATAAATGCAATGTATAAGCTTTAAATATCATCTGTAGCCAATAATTAGATTTAATATGTTTACCTACATGTACACTGTATATAAAAGTAGTACATTTCCCCATCCTTAATAATACACATAAAGTATGACCATTTACTGTATTGTAGATTCAATCCTTAATAGCATTTCTCACATGCTCTTTCCAGAATGGTGTACAGAACAGTTGAAGATGACTTTAGATGATATGATTTCCTCGGAATCATTTCCTGAACACCTCAGAGAGTCCTACGCTTCAGTTCAACAGAAAAATGGTGACAATTATTCCAAGAGTGCCTTGAATAGCATTCGTGCAGGGATCCAAAGATATTTGGACAATAGGGGTATTTCCATGGATTTAAGTGGGAACACTTTTTCTGCTGCGAATAGAGTGTTGAAAGGGTTGATAAAGGTGCTCAAAAGAGAAGGTAAAGATACAGCAACACACAAAGAGGTTATTGATGAAGGGGACATGACATCGCTGAAGGAATATTTTGAAAGATTTTGATAATCCACGTATACTACAACAGAAGGTGTTTTTTGATATTATGCTTCATTTTGGCAGACGAGGCCGTGAAGGTCTTCGTGACCTGAAGAAAGACAGTTTCCGTATCGTAACAGCCAGTAATGGTAATCAAATGGTTGAAATGACTTAGAACGAAGCAACAAAAACAGACCACGGTCTAAAAAAACTTGAGACTAAAAGACCCGTTATGTGTGCAACTGGTAACATTGATTGCCCAGTTAAGTATTTTCAGAAATACATATCTCATCTTCACCCTAACTGTCCATCATTCTTTCAAACCCCAAGGGCAACCACAAAGAAGCAAGGACATTTGATGTCTGGACCATGGTATTTAAATACTCCAGTTGGAATAAATACTATTGGAAATATGATGAAAAAAATTAGCTCTGATGCTAACTTGTCAAAAGTGTATACCAACCACTGCATAAGGGCAACATGTGCAAGCTTACTGAGTAAGCATTTCAATGACAGAGAAATTTGTCATGTAACTGGTCACAAAAATACAGAGTCCTTAAAACCATATATAAACCAGCCTTCTGAAAAAAAGAAACAAAGCTATAGTACAACTCTGTCAAATTATGGAGTAGAGAAAGAAAACCTCCCAAATAGTGATACTACACTTAGTACAAATGTTGAAAACACTAGTAGCAGTACTACCAATTCTCTTGAAGTGTTGCACAGTGGGGTGTTACAAAGTGCCATGTTTAATGGAAATGTAGTATTTAACATTAACATTCAAAAGTAAAAAGTTACAGGTTGCTATATGATTATAAAGTTAATCAACACAAACATTCAGGTCTAAAATTGACTAAATGTAACATATAGAGTAACAGTACATTACATGGATGTATGGACATTAATTATTTTATTTATTTATTCATGTGTTTACATCCAAAATAAATATTTATAATATTGTTAGCTGAATTTACATTTTGTCATTTTGTAAGAGTATGTGATTGAATTGTCATTCCTAAGTCATGCTTGCAGATTTTCAACTTGTACATGGGAATCCGATTAGATTGGGAAAACCCCACGGGTGAATAGAATGAGTCATCAAAATTTAATAGTACAATTTAGATTTCTGCCATGTAATCTATCGCCACTTTTCAAATAACCTGAAAATTGAAACATTTCTCCTTTCACATTTCTTGCTTTTGAAGAGTTCAAACATGATTTACAAAACAATATTTCACTGAAATACACGAAGACAATTAAATTATAGTTGATAATTGTCATTCTAGATATTTATTTTTATTTTATCAACACCCCATGTTTGCATACACCGTATAAAATCTAAAACAGGGAGTAAAATAGAACAGCCCAAACAAATTCTAAAATTTTTCCGGCCGACTTCAGAATCTTGACAGCATGCGTATTCTTCCTTCATGCCTGTTCCACAGACACGGCTTTTACTAATTTTTATGTTTGAATCGGAATAAATAATGATAGGCCATTCAATATGGTGAAATTCAGCACTCGTTGGACAGAATGTTAGTACAAATGCACTCACCTTCGGTTCGTGCTTTGTACAACATTCTGTCCAACTCGTGCTGAATTTCACCATATTGAATGGCCTATCATTATTTATTCCTTAAATAGATCTAGAAGGGTGGGGGAGGGGTCAAAGCCATTTCAGTTTTCTATCAGACAAAATTTAACATTTCAATTTTTGTGCAATTTTGACTCGGATCAGAATTCCTTGGAATGGTTTTAAAATAAAGAGTTTACCTGATGTTTTCTGCTAATGTTGTGCCTACTGTCACATGTTTTAATTCTATATAATTTATGGTAATATCCCAATGAAAATCCCAAATCCACGAAAGTCCTAGGCTAAGTCCACACGCGAAAAGTCCGCGATAATCATGTTTTTGGGGGAGGGGGGTCAAACTCAAAAGTCAAAACTAGATTTATTTAGTTTCCTATCAGAGGTTGAACTTCTGATGCCTCTCCTTGTGACCAGCATCATAATAGTCATTTACAGAACATTAGAAATAGACTAGATTGTGACTATCAGACTATGTGAAGCATCTGGAAAACTCGTTGGACCATGAGAAACAAAATCTAAATTTCTTCAAGTTTATAAATTGATTTTACACCACTTCTGGCCTGAATAATGATTCAGTACAACAAAAAGTTACAATTCTACTGATTTCTATAATCAAGTTGGAGTGAAATGCGATTATAAATACACAAATCAAACTTTAAATTAACAGAAATGTTAGAATACGCTTACCCGTTCAGACAAAATTGAGAGCAATGGCGGACAATGCGTTCTACGTCACATGACGACATTACTTGGAAACACAATCGATCCGTAATCGCTTCGTATGACGACTTGGTAGTTCCCTTGACAATTTGCCATATAAGGTAATAAAGGTGGTCTTTAGGTCACGTGACCGATCCACTGGCGATTGCCTGGAATAAGGTACAAAGAATCCCACTTCGTGGGGGGTCTTTGTAAAAAATTCTCCAAAATTATCTTTTGAGTTATGAATTAAAGGTAGAATTTTCTCAGGAATCCAAATCTGCAAATCAACTTTCAATCTGACTCCCGGTTCAGATTCTACGCCATTTTAAAATTCACATTTGCCAGTATCCATAATGCAGATCCATCAAATATACTTTCAACAATTCCTACTTACCTACTCGGCTACATACCTACTCGGCTACCTACTTAGCTACCTACTTCTCAGCTACCTACTCAGCAACTTGCTAAGCTACGTACTCAGCTACCTACTCAGCTGCTTACTCAGCTACCTACTCAGCTTCTTACTCAATTACTTAATCCTCTACTTACTCGGCTTCCTACTCAGTTACTTACTCAGCTCTTTACTCAAGTAAATCAATCTGGAGTCTTAAATTGAACTTTGTTCAATTTACCAATCTAGTTAATATTGATAATTTAAGGAATCTGCAACGGAACTTTAAATGTATTTATACAGACAAGCCAAAATTTAAATCTATTTACCAGTTTAAATATTCTGTGATAGCAAGATAGCACCTTTCAATGCAAAGGGGGGAGAATCATACAGACACATTCAAAGGAGTTGCTTTCAGCAGAAATAGATGACAAAACCAGAAAAGTAGAACAGTTTGTTTGCCATATATATGGGAAACAACAAATGTCCAACATCAACAAAGCCAGACATGTGTTATTCAAAGGGAAGTTAGGCCCCATACAAAGGAGTAACCGACTATGAAGGAACAGACATCAGGCAAGAGTGGGTGGAAAATTAATGAAACACAAAACCTGGAACTGCAGTGGGTAGTAATGGATATTCTACCACAAGAAATTGTTGATATTATTACACCAGGGGAAGAATCAGGGGAAGAATCAGAAGAAGATATACCCTATGAGATCCCAAATTATGTTGATGACACTTACACTCAAGGCAGATTAGCACCCCTTCACATCTGTTACTACACCCCCTCCCCCCACACCTTGTTTCAACATTCCTCCATTGCAGAACATATCCTTCCTCAACCTCAGAGACTCAAAAGCATGATGAAATAGAAAACCTCACCATTAATGAGAACCAAGTTTAGACAAACCATTGAATGAATTCATCTCCACAAAAAAGTCTGTAGAGGAAGCACTTGGTACCATGAATATGCCGGGAAAGTGTAGGAAATGTTACTTTGGAATTCTTAATTCTGAGGAAGTGATAAAACAATTAAAGATGTGTTTAAGAGGTATTTTGTAAACATTATGAAGTGTATTCAATAAATACTTCTGGGCCTAGAGGGTCCTTCATTACCTCCCTGGCAAAACTGCATGCTTGCATTCTGGGATCTAATGCTCCTTGCAGTTTTGCTAAGGGGTGCTCTTTACAAGCTTTTATTGAGGTTTTAGTTAATTAGTTTAATTTAGTTTTGAATTAGTTAATGTATTCTATGATTTTAAACTTCTGGATCACCAACCTTTTAGGAACCAGTGGATATAAAATATAAAAGTACATTGCAATCAACCTGCAAGCCGGTAGCTGCTATATACATTCGCAAATACAAGCTAAGTCTTAATATTTCAAAGATTTCTTGTGTTAGGTTCGAACAAAAGACTTTGTCATTCCCAGATGCCTAATTGTCTCAGGATGATCTTGAATGGACATCATGGTGCAGAGTAAATGTAATTTTAATGAGTAGCTCTTCAAAAAATAAACACACATTATAGGCCACCTTTAAGTTGGTAGAAAGGACAAAGAAGACAGCATGACGGCCCCATCAAGCATAATAAAGTTGGGACAAAAATATAAGACAGCAGGAGTTCAGTTGACTTGTATCATCAAAGAGAATTCGACAGAAAGGAACAGAGAGACATGAGCCTTTCTTTTCATTGTTGAATGGGAGTGGACCAACAAACTGGCTCAGGTTAAACTTGGACTGAATTGTTTTGAGAATTAGAAGTCTGCACCAACACCGAATGACACACCAAGTAAAAATTGGATGAACAATCATTTTTGGCAGCTTTTTTGTTGATGCATTTCCAGACAAACCACTCAACATTTTTAGACAAGCCAGATAAAATACTAGATTAATGGAAAGTGCATTCCACTACCAAAAATCATGATGAATCTGTTTTCTTCATGCTGAAAATGACAGAATCTATGATCCTCACCATTAACATTGTTGTATATATATGTCAGGCATTTATAATAATTATTGTCTGCATTCATATATTGCAATTGCAAGGGTGACACCTCAAGGTCATATACACTGTACATCCTTATATATTGTGGGATCACAACAACACATCGGTTCCGATATTGACCTATAAAAATTTAGATTATTTGAGTGAACTAAAAGTTGTCATTTTCTTGTTAAATATTTAGACAAAAACAAAAGAAATGACAGAGTTGAAGTCATGTTATTCAGTCAAACAGTATGTAGGAAAATTTACATGTAAATGCATCATAAAAGATTAAATATAAACTGTTTGCTAAATTAGATCATCAGAAAACGTGTAAGATTTGTTTTGAATTTAC